TTTGAGACATCACAGGTCAAGTAAATTGTTGGTTGTTCCAGGTGAAAGCAAACAAATATTGGCTCTCCAGGTGGACAGGTATGCTGAAAAAGATACAACAGAAGTCAATAACAGTAAAGTATGTAATGTCTGGAGGGACATTAGGAAGCGGTAAGTGAGGATTTGAGGCTGCTGGAAATCTGGGAATAATAATGTGGTTACCCCTGTTACCGTCAAGTTAATTCTGACTCACAGAGACCCTATAGGACAGAGTAGAACTTCTCCATAGGGTTTCCAAGGAGAGGCTGGTGGATTTGAACTGCTGACCTTTTGGTTAGCAGCCTGAGCTCTTAACCATGGTGCCACCAGGGCCCTGACAATGCTGTTAATAGCTCTTAAATCCTGTACATACCTCCAGCCTTGATTTCCTGATTTCCTAACAGGGAGTACAGGGATATTACAAGGGCTAGTGCAGGGAACAATTAATGCTTTAGAAATGAAGTCCTTAATAATAGGGGCTAATCCCTCTATAGCTTCTCGTTTAAGTGGGTATTGAGAGAATCTTGGTAAAGGCTTAGAGGTATCTACTTGAACTTTAATGAGTTTGCAGATAAAACTTGCCCCACATCGGTAGGTGTGATGGCCCATAAGGTTTCAGGATTTAATTTTAAAAAATCAGAGGGAAAGAGGCTAGGGAGAGTTAAACTGTCTCTGTGCATGACTAATGCCTGAAAACAGCAAGCAGCCTCTTCTTGAATTAGTTCTGATTGAAATCCTTCATTGGAGGTTTTCAGGGGGTCTGGCAGGCTTAATAATATTTGTCCTTTTTTCTGAAAATTGTAAATAGAGGCCAACTTAGAGATAAAAGATCTCAGCCAAACAAATTAACAGGAGTGTCAGGTTCAGCAGAAAGCGACATAAATCTTCAATAGGGTCAAGGGAAATAGGAACAGGTTTTGAATGAATTAAAGCCTCTTCTTGATTTGTAACCCCTACACTTTTGAAGTTTTGTACTTTGTGCTGGGCAGGGGCTTTTATAAACACATGGGGTTAATGCCAGAGAGTGTAATACCAGTATTAATTAGAAATTTACAAGGTTCTCTGTTAATATACATAGTAGTTTCTCCTTGAAGGTTAAGTGCGACCATAGGAAAAGTCCCTGTTGTGTCTCGGTAGCCCCTTCATTCCATATCTGGTTAAAGGGTCTCTGGCTTAAGCTGTTTCTTTTAATTGTTCTTTAACGTATACCAATCCTTCCTCCAATGCCTAGGTTTCTTGCAGTAATTGCAAGTTCCAGGTTTAGTGCCTCCAGAGGACTTGAATTTACTCTTCTGATTAGGAGATTGCAATTGTAAGGCCATTAACTTATTTGCCTTGGAAGATTGTTTAGTTTCCAAGGTTTGAGAGAGTACATGAGCTAGATTGGCCAGCTAGGCAATGACAGCTGCTTTCCAATCTACTCGATACCTTTTTAATATGGCTGAAAGTTTAGGTTTGAGGCCAGGTATGAATACTGCATTAAAAGCTCCTGCAGCCACAGGGTATGATGGATCGATCCCAGAATGTTCAGCAAACCTCTGAAATAATCTGGTCTAGCCATCATAAACAGGCCCTGAAGTATTCTGGCTAGGTGACTTTTGAAAGAATGAGCAGTATACAGCAGAAATGGAATTTGGCCTACATCTTTGGCAGAAGCCTCTACCCATGCTGAGCACCTGGGTTTTTCGGACTCCTTCACAACTGTTTGCACCATCAAGGGACTAAAGATCTTATAATCTGTGTATGAAAATTCAATATATGAAGTCTTCCACAGTCTGATTCTGACATATATAGATTCTGTTGACTCTTACTCATGATGATTTGTTTTCCTGTGACAATGAATTTTTTTTATGGCATTTTCTTTTTTTCTCATCCAGTCCCATAGTTTGGGACTGAAAAATTTCTTTCACTGTTGTATGAGTGGAATCTTGGTTTAGACAGATATTTCTAGTTTGTCCTAATACTGATAGTGAAGTCTTTTCATATCCTAAATGTATATGGAGTCTCCTATTTGACCACCACCTTGTGTGGGCCCTAAGTTTGTTTTGGTCCCCAATTCTCAGAGAAGCTATGAACACCAGCCTGTATTCATCAAGATTTGGTAAGTGGCCTACTGGTGAAAAGTCAGCTTCGGTTCTTAGCTTGCCACTTGTCTTAGTCATCTAGAGCTACTCTAACAGAAATACCACAAGTGGATGTTTTGAACAAAGAGAAGTTTATTCTCTCAGTCCAGTAGGCTACAAGTCCAAATTCAGGGCATCACCTCCAAGGGAATGCTTTCTCTGTGGGCTCTGGAGAAGGTCTGTGTCATCAGTCTTCCCTTGGTCTGGAAGGTCCTTGTGATGCATCAATCTTCTCTTGGTCTGGGAGCTTCTCTGTGCAGGAACCTTGGGTCCAAAGAACGTGCTCTGCTCCTGGTGCTTCTTGCTTGGTGGTATGAGGTTCCCAATTTTCCACTTGCTTCCCTTTCCTTTTATCTCTTACAAGAGATAAAAGGTGGTGCAGGCCACACCCCAGGGAAACTCCCTTTACGTTGGATCAAGGATGTGATCTGGGTTAGGGTGGTGTTACAATCCCACCCTAATCCTCTTTAACGTAAAATTACAATCACAAGATGGAGGACAACCACACAACACTGGGAATCATGGCCTAGCCAAATTGTTACAAATATTTTCTGGGGGACACAATTCAACCTATGACACTGCTTTTATCTAGTTTTGACCTCTAATAAGTTTTTACTTTCTAACCAGTTCATTGAGGCATTTAAAAGTATTTCATTTTTTTGTGTTACTTTTAAATGGAAGTTTTAAAACTTTAGGATTCCAATGCAAGTCCTGACAGAAGGGCTTGCATGAAGGCAGGTGGCAGGTGATGAGTTATGATTCCGTCTTCACTCTGTCCTGGTTTTAATTACCAGGTGCGTAATTCATGGAATATTTCTGGAACCAGATTCCTATGATAGTTGTCTTTTTTTCAGGCCCCAGTCTCTGTTAAGTGCACTATTTAGCATTAAAAATAATCGTGACCCATATTTTTTCTTTACTCTTGTGTTTTAAATTATTTATTAATGTGTTCATTGTCTGTCTTACTGCACCCTCTACTCAAAATGTAAGATCTTTCTATAATACTTCTTCAAATTTTGCTGATGACCCTTCTCTACTAGTCCTAACTTACGCCATCTTTAGGAATCAATTCCTCTTTTGATAGTTACATACAGATATTTCACTTACGGTATCTTTCTTATTTAGCTTTTAGCCTGTCATTAATTTCTGTTTGTATGTATGTGTGTGTCTGTATGTTTGCCCTTGACATTCCCAGTGTACAGCATATAAATGTTCCAACAACTTTTGCATTTGTTGATATAGAATTTTTAAGACAAAAGAGAAAGACATTGTGATAGACAGAGGAAGTACCTGTTTTGGAAGCATGGGACTGAGAAGGAGATAATCAAAACAAGTTAAACCAAAACTACATTAACTTCTCAGAGTCCAAAACACAAGAAAGATCAATTTTAGTGTAGATTGAAATTCACTAATTCAACTGTGCAGTTCTCATGAATCATAACTGTAGTTCTAGCAACTTTAAGTCTAATTGTTGTTTGATGTGCTGATTTTCTTTTTCTTTCTGGTAAAAGGTAGTGTATAAGTATTAAAAATATTTTAGATTGTAAAAATTAGCTATGAGGACTTTTTTGTGCTTCAAATTTTATTTATTTCTGATATTTACTAGGAAGAAAAAATAAACAAAAATAAACCTTTTTGGGGGGAGGTGGTTATAATCAACCATTATTAACTCTTATTAACTTTCTTCTCCATTAGTGATCCCCAACCATGAAATTAAAATAGGCTATCATGGCTTCGATTAAAAAAAAAAAACAAAAAACTGCTACTTTATCAAAATAAAATAGAACTAGCATTATTCAGGTAGAAAAACACTAGTAAGAGACTTCCCTCCTTTGCTGTGACTGTATTAAATTATGTCCCAGCTTGGGGAAAAAGATGCTTGTCTCTATTTTTAAGATATTTTCTAAAAGACAGAGGTAAGCTGTACCTTTAAGTTCACAGGGAGAAACCAGTTACCAAGAAGTGATTGTTATTTAAAAATAATTAACACACTACAATATATCTGAACTTCATCACTTTTGGCCAAGAAGGACAGAGCTAAATGACACCTGGAAACTTGAAGCTGCTTATTATTATAGGACTTTCCAGTGCACGTATTTCAAGTTCTTGAGTGAAGTTTAGTGTTAGAATTTTGTACGTTTTATTATGTTTATTGTATCTTTCAGGAAATAGTAACCAAATAAGATTAATGTTCCATACTGGTTATTGTTATAAAAATAGCTTTAGACAAAAAATGTTAAATATTCATGAAAATCCTTATTTCCCCTAGGTTCCAGCTTGTAAAAGATGCTGACAGAGATAACTCACCAAAGGAGGGAACTGTAACACAGTACAGATAATCACAGGAGTTAAAAACAAAGGCAGTTGACATTAATAATTAAATGAGAAAATGCCCTGTGGAGGTTTAGATGAGCTACAGGCACAATGTGTAAAATCACTTGGCTAACTGATCATTAGCTATGTTCTAGATCAGCGGAGTATATATTAATATAACTGGCTCCTCTATCCTATTTTTCTAGTCCAATAGTTTGTCTAAGGTAATAAATATAGCTATTATACATTTCCTGTGAGGAAAACTTATCCTCATTAGAACCTGATGTTTTTACTATTTGTAAGGGAGTATTCAGTATAAATAAATGTAATAGAGGAAGTTATTCTCTTCTTCCAAGTCTTTGTGTTGAGTATTAAATGAATTCTAAAAGAAACTATGATACTGTTGCCAATATTCAACTATATTTTAATCTGACCTTTATAAGATTTTAAAAGAGCTATTACCAGATTTTTCAGTTGGTTCATGTTTGTGTTCTTGTTTGTGTGTTTATTTTCTCTGTTTTTAAAATCTGTCATCTATCTCCATAGGGTACTCTTTAATGAAGAGACAGCAGAGGTGCTAAATACTCTGGGACCCAGAAGCTTTAGTGTCCAAGGATGGCTTCCACATGGAAGCTGATTCTACTTTTGTCAGTTGCTGAGTGTTTTTCAGGTAAGTCTTGCTTTATTTGATTTTCTAAGTATCAAATCACAAAAATATATCAAGGTCTTTATGACAAAATATACTGTGGCTTTCATTTAAATTTGTATCAATATTCCAACGTTTGAACCAAAGAAAAACAGCCCTTAAACCTCTGTATTAGCATTGTAAGAAGTCACATATGATTCACTATAACAAGATGCTTAGAACAAGAGTATATAAATATTAATAAAATGAATATCCACCTCATTGACTTTAATTTACAATCTAAACCACTGTTAGTCTTCAGAAGACTTGGCGATGTATGTATTTATCATTTATAGCAGGTAATTATAAAAATGTCTCATTATAATGCTAAATTTTAAAACAGAATCATGCTAGATTTATATATATATATATATATATATAAAATGCACAACATAATTTAATAATATCTCATTTTTAGTGGTAGCATGATGTATTTTGTTGGTTGTCTTGACTTTTCTGGCTTTCTTATTCTGCAAAAAACATTTTATATTCTTCGGAGTATGATATCATAATGGTTAGAATTAGTATGTCAGAGACTTTTTGTTTTAATTTTAGAGTGCCTAGAAATTAAATTGTAGTGATGATTTAAATGCTATGCATGTAATATTTCCAGCTGGATTAGATTTAACTCAGAGGTTGTATTGTGAGTAAAATTAGGAAGTGTGTGTGGTAAGAGAGTCTCTGTAATAAAATGTAACTACAATGGGCAAATAACGCGCCCATGTGAATAATGTGCACACACATATAATGTGCACAGTGTGCCTCGGAAAATAATGCACAGGTGGGTTGCACGGCTGGCAAAAAAAACATAATGCGTGCATTATTTGCTTAAAAATAGGTACTGATATTTTCAGAATGAAACATTGATTTTATCTATAAACATATTCTTTAATGTTTTAAATATACTTTAAAAGCCATAAAATATTCATTTTGGTTTATATGATCTCCTCAGTACTCTTGGATATGCAAATGTCTAATACAAATATACATATATACCATACGCATGCATAGAACAGTGCATGTACACAATATATACTTATGAAAATATGTATCATGTGGAATGTATATATATATAAAAATTATATGGAACATGCATCTTATATACATATGACCAAAAATAGCCTTAATTTTTATATCAAGCTATACTAACATGCAACAAAAATATTGAATTGGCCGTGTGAAATTTCTTTATTTCGAAAAGCCAAACATATTCTCTTAACAGCTAAATCTTTCCTGTATTGTATATCATGAAGAAAACTGGAGATTGGCTAAAAAAGGACAGAAAGGAGAACAAATCCAAGTAGAAGTAAATTTAAATGAAACCCTACTGAGAATTATTTGAATCATCAATGTATTTTCTTTTTTTTAACCATTATTCTTTGGCCTTTACAGATGATTTGCTATCTGTAAAGTGTCATAAGTACAACTTTAAATACATACGATAGATGAGACTTCTTTCAAACAAAAAAGTCTCAACTTACAATCAAACTGCTTTAAAACCTTGTTTGAAATTCAAAGGAATTTCTTTATATACAATGACAAATTTAGTATTCATCATAAAAATGCATGTTATGTGTTTAAATATAATATCTATAACATACTTTCATGCATCTTAATGCTTTTAAATAGGTATATAAAGGTGTCTTCTTTGTTGCATTACTAGTAATTAAATAACTGGAAAAAAATCAGATGGGTTTTTATTTATTATCATCATAATATGTTGAGCACCGTTACATTCAGAAAAAGAAACAATAGGAGACATATGAAAAACAGGATGTGACATCTATAGAATTTTGGCAGAGACATCTGAGTAAACGTTAAATGGGATTTTGGATGGGTAGTTTCAGAGACACTAACAGTTAAATGAAAACCCAGTTCATTAATATTATGGTTACTTAAAAGAAATAAAGACTTCAAATACTTTATTCCATCTTATATTTTTCCTTCTTTGCAGTATTATTGTCTTCTCTACTACGCTCAGTATGTCTCTCTTCGACCTCCTCAGTATCATCCTTCTTTTGAACTCATAAACTAATTCCTGAGAGTGGAGGTAGGGTTTCCAAATGAAATAAAGGAAACCTGGATAAATTTGAATTTAAGAGAAACAACAAATAATTTTTATCTAAGTATTTCTCATGCAATAATGTATTTTATTCTAACTAAAATTTAAATTGAACTGGGTGTTATGTGTTTTTATTTATTAATCTGGTGAGCCTAGGTGGAAGGAGGTTGGTAATACGTAATAACACCGCAAAGTTTTATTCTCTGGTGCTGGCTCAACACTCTTCCTCCCAAATAAAGAGTCACTCCAAAGAAGATATTTTACAATATTTGTGGAAAGATAAAAGGAGCCTTGGTGGTGCAGTGCTTAAGTGCTCGACAGCTAACAAAAAGGCCAGTGGTTCCAAGCCCCCAGCCACTCCATGGGAGAAAGTTGTAGCAGTCTACTTCCTAAAGATTTACAGACTAGGAAGCCCTGTGAGGTGGTTTTAATCTGTCCTATAGGATCACTCTGTGTTGGAATTGACTCAATGGCAATGAGTTTGGGTTTTTTTGTCTGTTTGTTTGATGGAAGGATAAAAATACTCAGCTTGAGGTGGGATCCATGATTGATAAATTTCTGGTTCCCAAGAGAATCATGGTGCAGCTCTTTCTGTGGAATAGAATAAACCATCAGAAGATAGGGATAATAAGAATGAGTTTGGAGCTAAGCTGCAGCTTGAATACTGTAGACAAAGCAAAAAGAAAATTTGAAAATGCACATTCCTAATTGTCACATGGGATCCAGTCTTCTTTAATCATCATTCACTGCATTTAATGTAAGGCAAATATGTCAATTATTTTTAAAAACAAATGAATATCATCTCTGTTATAGATACCAGCTTTAAATAAAATTGTTGAGATTCTTGAAATGATCAGTTATCAGAAATGATTGTATTCAAAGTTTTCTCTCACCTTCCTCCTCTTATTTTATCAAATTCATGTGCAGGCACAGTCCCTATTCTGCTCTTGTTACTTGGTTAATAATTAGGTTCAATATTTACTCCACTGTTTTAGTATTTGATGGAGCCCTGGTGGCACAGTGGTTAAGAGATTGGCTGCTAACCCAAAAGGTTGGGAGTTCGAATCCACCAGCCACTCCTTGGAAACTCTATGGTGCAGTTCTACTCTGTCCTATAAGGTCACTAGGAGTTGGAATTGACTCGACGGTAATGGTTGATGTTTTGGTGATGGTTGATGTTTTGTTTTGTTTTTTGTTTGATACTTTATTCTTTAGTTTTGTCTAGGTTATTATGTTGAATTTTCTATGAATATTGTATTATAGACCCTAGTTGCCACACTGTGTGATTATTATTACAAAAAGTTAGTGTAATTAAGCTAAAGGGCATGAACACATTTTATGTTGTTGCCACTGTTTGAATTTGAAAAATGAATTGAATAAGAAGAAGATACTTAAACTTTATTCCATGTTTATTTTACTTATTTACTTTTTAATGGATGCAGTTATCCTAAGTGTGTTTATTTGGGAAATATAAAGTAACTCTTCTACAACCCTGTGTTTGAAAAGTAGCTATTGAGAGCAATGAAAGCTTAACAACTTTCACAGTGACATATACTAGTACATTAAAAAGGGCCTCATAAATAAAATAATAATGAGATATCACTACATACCTATTAAAATGGCTAAAATCCAAGAATTAGCAACACTAATTGTTGAAGAGGACGTGTAGCAATACGACTCTTATTCATTGCTGATGGAAACGCAAAATGATATAGCCACTTCAGAAGACAGTTTGGCAGTTTCTTATAAAGATGAACATAATATGACCATATGATTCCGCAACTGTGCTCCTAGATATTTACTGAACTGATTTAAAAATGTATAAAATGATCTCGCTGAAGAGTAAGGAAAAAATTGTTGACTTAAATGACGTTGGAGATGAGTCTATATAAGACTAAAAACAAACAAAAAAGCTATACATAAGCACTGTACTCTTTCTGATATAGCCCCACACACACACACATGGGAGTATGGGTTAACAATTCTGAAACCACTGTACATGTATACTTGAGCTGAATAATTACATCAATGGGTGGCAGATGTGGGAGCCAGGTTTCTCACAGTTTGGGAAGTTAGAGATAAGCAACAGAAAAAGCTTGGAAGAGCTATTTGGTAACGTATTAGAGTTGGAGGCTTCACTATAAACTTATGTTTACCTTAATATGGAGTCCTGATGGTTAAGTAGTTAAGAGCTCGGCTGCTAACCAAAAGGTCAGCAGTTCAAATCCACCAGCTGCTCCTTGGAAACCTTATGGGGCAGTTCTACTCTGTCCTATAGTGTCGCTGTGAGTTGGAATCGACTCAGTGGCAAGGGGTTTACCTTAATATAGATTGTTGTAGTGAGTTGTCATTTAGTTGGCTCCAACTCATGACGACACCTCATATAAGAGAAAGAAACATTGCCCAATCCTGTGCCATCTTCATGTTGGTATATTTGAGTCCATTGTTGTGGCATTGTGTCAATCCATCTCATTGAGATTTTCCCTCATTTTCTTTGACCCTCTATTTTACCAATCATGATGTCCTCTTCTAGCAATTACAGGTGGTTAAATATATAATTATATATACCAAACCCAACCCATTGCCATTGAGTCAATTCCAACTCATAGCAATTGTATAGGACAGAGTAGAACTGCCCCATAGGGTTTCCAAGGAACGGCTGGTAGATTCAGACTGCTAACTTTTTGGTTGGCAGCCAAGCTCTTAACCACTACACCACCAGGGGTCCTAATTATCTATAGATATGTGTATATTCATGGGTTAGTATACATACATGTTTCTGTACTTGTCAACTGAGAAGGCTTAGAAACAACAACATCTCACTAACAACAGAGGACACATAGCGCCAAAATCTTGTTCTCTAATGCTGTTCTCCAATTAAAGGAACCATTGCCTGTTCTTCTGGCAGTCCATGGTATATCTG